TGTTCTGCTGACTTGAACGATGCTTTATCAAATGCAAGGATTATTTATTTATTTAAGTCTTAAATCAAGGGATTAGACAATATAGTGTAACATTGGTTGTCAGGATATCGTTCATAAGCATTTTATAAGACATTAGCAAAGTCCTTCTAAAGAACATTAATCAGAAGAACTATAAAATATGCCAATGTCCCCTGGGTTGATTATATTGAAACATCGTTATGATTCAAAGTGATTGGGCCAGTTAAATAGATTTGTTGGGAAATGACAGATGGATATTAACCCTAATAACCACTTTTATACAGTGATTTTAGCAGCAGAGCAATGTACTTTATACTTTTTGATACGATTGAAGTATTTGAAATACTATAATGAAGGGAATTGAAACGTCATATAAAATATGACTTTTCCCTCTAGTAGAAGCATTCAAAACAAGCAGACATTAATAATAACTGACCCTGGGCACCAGGATATAATTTGTAGGTAAACAAATTACATAGCATTTTGGTGGAGAGAGAAGCATGTATTTAAGCAAACTCCCTCCCTAGAACCCCAATGATGGTACAAATGCATGTATATTCCTAGGATATTTAACAAGGCTTTTCCAGTTCATTAATGTGTCCTACAGCATGAAAATAGTTAATTTAATTTATAATCACAAGCTACCAAGATACAATGGGAATCCATTTTACAGTGTATTCTGTGAAGCACTTTGAAATGTCTAAACGATGTGATAAGGCGCTGTATCAAATGCAAGGATTATTTTTACTATTATTATCATCTCAGCACCTGATACCGCTTCACTTTGACTAGATACTTTTATCTAGTCTGGTTCTCTTTGACCGAGCTCTCGATCATCTTTCCCCTTTGCTCCCATTCCCAACTTGGGTGCCCAGCCAGCGGTCTCCAGCACTTTGAGATGTCCTCTCAACGTGAAAGGCACTATATAAATCTAAACTGTACGGTGGTATAAAATACAGGGTCATCACACACTTCAGAGTATATTATGGGAAGTGCTTTGAGATGTCCTCCTGATGTGATACGTGCCATAACTAATGTAAGGATTATTAGTATTATTTATTACAGCTAAGTGTTAGCCAGGCTCAGCTGGTAGCACTTTCACCTCTGAGTCAGAAAATTGTGGGTTCAGGCCCCACATTTAGGCTGGCACTTCCAATACAGTGCTGGTAGAGAGCTAGGCGAATGCTTCCTAGTTTGAAGAGATCAAATACTACATTGGACAATGCCCAGGTGTCCTGTCCCTCACAGCAATAACTTATATATCTAGCGCCATTCATTCATGTAAAACAAATGTCTTGGCTGGCAACCTAAGGACTTGGACTGACAGATGAATAACTTAACTGTATTAACCAGTATATTGAAAATGAATTCAAAAAAATTCCACAAATAACTTTTCTTTCAAATAACTATTATTTGAACAGTGAACAAACAGCCTGTTTAATATTTGCTGCACGTTCCTCATCCCTTCCATTGCAGGGTCTCTGCGGTCTTGCCCACCCTACCGCTAAAGGCGCTAAGCAAACGTAATTTTGTTGTTGTTGCGACCTTCTAAAATCCTAACCCCCCCCCCCCCACCTCCGTTGAGCAGGCACTGGCGCTTGACTGCCCAGTGGCTTGGGATGTTCTCCGACATGAACGGCTCTATATGAATGCAATTGGTTGTCGTCCCACCATCGACAGCTGTGCTTTCAGAAATCATGACCCCTCTCACTGAAACTCACTCCCATATCTCTCAGCCTTGCAGCACCCCCCGCACCACCAACCCTACCATTTAGAAAATTCTTCTAAATTCTTATCTGTCTTAGTCATCTTCCAATTTACCCCCCGACCCTCTACCCTATTCAGTGTTTCACACCGTCCCTATAAAGCACTACAGACACGCAATCGAGGCTGACACTCCAATGCATTTCTACAAGAACATTGCAGCGTCAGAGATGTCAGCCTTCAGATGAGACTTTAAATCTGCCTGTTCACATAGATGTGGCACTGTTTGAAAAGAGGAGTGAGTTTCTCCTGGTGTCCTGGCCAAGGCAGTGCTGGAGTATGCTGGATTGTTGGAAGTTTCGTCTTTCAGCTGAGACGTTAAGCTGAGGTTCTTCAGGTGAGATGTTAAACTGAGGACCCGAGGTGTTGTCCACCTGTTGAGGTGGTCATTTAAGATCCCATGGCACTATTCAATAAGAGAAGGAAATTTCTCCCAGTATCCTGACCAACAATTCCCCAGAGAAAACTGGTTATTCACTTCATGGCTGTGTGTTGTGTGCAAATTAGCTGCAAAGTTTCCCTACAAATCGCAGTTAAAATCCTGTTAAGTGCTTTGAGATGTCTTTTACAAAGTGATTAGGGGCTATGTCAAATGGAAGCATTGTACAAATAAATACTCATTTACGTATGTGTGGTTCAGTGTGTGTGTGTATAAGTGCATGTTGTTGTTGTAGAGCAAGAACAGAGTGTACCTCACAAGCAGTGCTGGAAAATATAGTTCAGATCCCTTCTCCGAGTCAGAAATGTAACTGAGAAAATGATAAAAGTGACCAAACTGAAAACAAAGAACAGGCGAAATGAAAGAATGTTTGGAAAATTGTTTGTTTGCTACGGCATCATGTCATGACGTAATTCCATGAGTGGGCTGTGTGAGGGGTGGTATATGGGCTTTGGAGTGTGAGGTGTCACATAGGTAGCATCGTGTGGAGTGGTATATGGGTGGCCAGTGTGTTGGGTGGAATATGAGTGATGGGTGGTATATGGATGAGGGGGTGGTACATGGGTGAGTGGGGTATGTGGGCGAGGGCTTGGTATTTGGGTGGTGTATGAGTGAGGGGATGGTATATCCTGTAGCTCGGTGGTTAGAGCACTTGCTTCGCAAGCGAGAGACCTGGGTTCAAATCCTGGGCAGGGCGAAACGCTGGGCGAACCTTCCCTACTCCACCCGCTTCTGTTTACGTAGCAGTAAGTAGGAACCCGGTTCTTAGCCGATTGGCGGATCGCTTTTCGGGGGGTAACGATCCCTTCAAAAAAAATAATAACAAGCTTGGTCACTTCAATCCACGAGACTGTTTGCGGGGCCGCTGCTGTGCGCAATCGGGCTGCTGCTTTCACCCACGAAACGTACGGTCAATTCACTTTACAGCGCATCCCGTGAGAAGCGCTTTGAGGACGTCTCCGAGGCGCTGCACGGAAACGCGTGGATTATCATTATCATCATCGCAACAGCAGCAACTCGCACTTCGGCAGCGCCCTCCGCCCCGGCGTCATTGCGACGGGTGAGGGGTGTGCTACGTGGGTGACGATGGGTGAGGGGTGTGCTACGTGGGTGACGATGGGTGAGGGGTGTGCTACGTGGGTGACGATGGGTGAGGGGTGTGCTACGTGGGTGACGATGGGTGAGGGGTGTGCTACGTGGGTGACGATGGGTGAGGGGTGTGTTACGTGGGTGACGATGGGTGAGGGGTGTGCTACGTGGGTGACGATGGGTGAGGGGTGTGCTACGTGGGTGACGATGGGTGAGGGGTGTGCTACGTGGGTGACGATGGGTGAGGGGTGTGTGGGTGACGATGGGTGAGGGGTGTGTACGTGGGTGACGATGGGTGTGAGGGGTGTGTTACGTGGGTGACGATGGGTGAGGGGTGTGCTACGTGGGTGACGATGGGTGAGGGGTGTGCTACGTGGGTGACGATGGGTGAGGGGTGTGCTACGTGGGTGACGATGGGTGAGGGGTGTGTTACGTGGGTGACGATGGGTGAGGGGTGTGTTACGTGGGTGACGATGGGTGAGGGGTGTGTACGTGGGTGACGATGGGTGAGGGGTGTGTTACGTGGGTGACGATGGGTGAGGGGTGTGCTACGTGGGTGACGATGGGTGAGGGGTGTGCTACGTGGTGACGATGGGTGAGGGGTGTGTACGTGGGTGACGATGGGTGAGGGGTGTGCTACGTGGGTGACGATGGGTGAGGGGTGTGCTACGTGGGTGACGATGGGTGAGGGGTGTGCTACGTGGGTGACGATGGGTGAGGGGTGTGCTACGTGGGTGACGATGGGTGAGGGGTGTGCTACGTGGGTGACGATGGGTGAGGGGTGTGCTACGTGGGTGACGATGGGTGGGGGGGGGGGGGGGGGGGGGGGGGTGGGGGGGTGTGTTACGTGGGTGACGATGGGTGAGGGGTGTGTTACGTGGGTGACGATGGGTGAGGGGTGTGCTACGTGGGTGACGATGGGTGAGGGGTGTGTTACGTGGGTGACGATGGGTGAGGGGTGTGTTACGTGGGTGACGATGGGTGAGGGGTGTGCTACGTGGGTGACGATGGGTGAGGGGTGTGTTACGTTGGTGACGATGGGTGAGGGGTGTGCTACGTGGGTGACGATGGGTGAGGGGTGTGCTACGTGGGTGACGATGGGTGAGGGGTGTGCTACGTGGGTGACGATGGGTGAGGGGTGTGTTACGTGGGTGACGATGGGTGAGGGGTGTGCTATGTGGGTGATGATGGGGTTGGGTGCAGTGTGTGGGTGGGGTATGAATGGGAGGAGGAGGAGGTGGAGGTGTGGCACTGGTGGTGGGTGTCCCTTTAAGTGCGCGGGGCCGGGTGCGCAGTGCGCGGGGCTCGGCGCGGGGCAGGCCGGGTAAAGATGGCGGAGCGGAGCGGGGAGGAGGGGCAGCGGCCGCCGCGGCACCAACACAGACAGCGGGAGGGAGGCCGCCGCTAAACACACACACACACACACACACCCACCACACACACACACCACCTCTTCTTTTATTCCTCTCTCACTCACTCTCTCTCGCACTCACTCTCTCTCTCGCCTTCCCGCCGCTCAGCCAAGGAGAGACCGAGGCGGCGGCGGCTGCACAGGCCCCGAGGCCCCGAGGTCAGGGTCACCGCCTGGGGGAGGAGGGACAGAGGCCTCGAGGCCTTGTCACACCGGGACATTCACCTCCTCCCGCCTGTGCTCTCTCCCTCCCTCTCCTCTCTCTCTCTCCCTCTCCCTCCTTCCCTCTCTCTCTCTCTCCCCCTCTCCCTCCCTCCCAGCCGCCTTCGCATGAATTCCGCCGAGCAGCCCTCGCAGTGTGCGCCATCAGTGGCCGACGCCAGGTGGGTGTGATGTGGGAGTGATGTGGGACTTGTGTTGTCAAAAGCCCCGTCTGCTTTCTCTCTCTCTCTCTCTCTCTCTGTGTGTGTGTCTCTCTTTTTCTCTCTTTCGCAGCTGTTACTGTCCCATCTCAATCCCCCCCTCCCCCCCCCCCCCACCGCCCCCTGTTTGTGGGACCCCCGTTTCTCTGCCCACGAAATGACACACAAGTCAAATCAATCCACTTCACAGTGTATATTTCTGGGAAGCGCTTTCCCGCCCTCTTTGACGGCGATGACGGCGACGACGGTGATGATAATCCTTGCATTTTATACAGCGCCCGATCGTGCCTTCGAGACGTCTCGCAGCGCTTCACAGAATACCAGGGCCACGGTCAGTTCACTTTACAGTACGCTCTGTGAAGCGCTTTGAGACGTCTCGAGGACGTGATAAGGCGCTGTGTCAAAGGCGAGGATTATTATCATTCTACCGTAAAGTGAATTGAATGTATTTTGTGGGTGAAACACAGCAGCGAATACGTGCGCACAGTGTCCCATAAACAGTCGCGGATTGAGTGACCGATTTATTATTTTTCTAATTTATTTTTGAAAGGATTATAAGGGGTGTAAGTGATAAGGCACTACATCAAATGCAAGGATTATTATTATTATTATTCTAACCTCCCTCCCTCCTCTCCTGGTTCCCCTTCCTGAGGTCCCTGTGGTCACTCCGGACAGGGCGCTCACTCCAGATCTTATCAGAGGAAACGTCCTGCAGGGAAAGGAGGAAGAGATTTCTTCTGTAAACCGTCTTACCACTTGTTTCTATTCTTTTTAACTGCTACTTGTTAAATAATTGGGAGCAGGAGTTGTTCAGTTGATTTCCCACCCCCACCTCTCTTTTATCCCTTCCCTTGAAATGCACATTGTGTATGGCACCCCAGGTCTCAGCTCTTCTCTCCCTCTTCTAATCAAATATTTGGTGCGTAGAAATGTGTACAGAAGTTACTCACAAGGGCTCTTTTGGGGAGGGGAGCAAGGGGATTAAGTGTGAGTAAGAACTAGTGTTTTTATTTTGTCTGGTATGATAAGGAAACATATAATTGATTTGAAATGTGATGTAATTTTGGTTTGAGCACATTAGCGATGTGCGCTTTTTTGGATGTTAATGATTGTGGAACTTTTTATGCAGTTGTAAATTTGTCCATAACTGGCGGTATTAATCAGGATTGGTATAATCAGTGTTAAAATTGTATCACGTCTTGGCACATGTAGGGTTAGGGTTGAATCTTGGGTGAGTTTGAGGCATTTTTATTTTTGCTTAAAACCAACTGTGTTTCTGAGTTGTGGACTTTTTGCACTTCTGAAAGCTCTTGCAATTGTACAAAGGAAATTGTTATTCCAAGGAGTCCTGAAGCACATGTTTGAAACAACAAATGGGCCAATTTCAGAGTTTGCAATTGACAGAGTATGTGTTGTGATTAATCTGGTCATAAGACAAACCTATTGTCCTGAAAAATGCATTTTATTCTACTTGTCTGATAAGGCACTATACCAAATGCAAGGATTGTACATTGTTATCTGACAAGTAAACCTTTCGAAGAAAAATAAGCGACATTTCTGTTGTGCTCTCTGAGAAGAGTAAAATTGCATGCATTGTGCTCGGGTTCAATTTAAGCATTGTCAGGTTAGTTGTTTTATCAATTTTCTTTTTAAAAGTTTGGTCCATACAGAGTGACTGCAAGAGTGTGAAACTGGTCACCAAATGTGGCTTGTGAAGCTACTGTTGTCCTAAACAGTCTCCCCAAATTGACGAGGTTTATTTTCTGGTTCGCGGGTTTCGGGTGATGCATGCGGAAGCCCATCGCTGTGCTAGTGAGTATCAAACCAGACTTGAGTGTTTCACATAAGTGTGCTACCTACACGTGGAGATTTCCCTGTGTCTGGAATGAAATGCAAACTCTTTCTGCTTATCTAATTTTGGAAAATATTAAGAGCCAAGCAGGCGTTGCTTACAAGTCAAGCTGAGGCGTGGCTTACAAGTCAAGCTGAGCTCCTGGGGATGGAGCAGAGGGTCTTCCTCTGATGATTATTATTATTAAGCTGGGTCCGCAGTACTCAAGGGCACTGCTGTTCAGCCCAGTCAGCCTGGCACATCAGCAGGACTTGGCAGGGCAATAATTGGAAGCAGGGACTCTTTCCACTCAGCCCCTGTTAACCCTACAAGCTAAAACCCTAAACAGTAAGGTGGAACCAGCTGGGGAAAGCAACAGGAAAGCTTGCCAAACTGAGCTCTTAAAGGCAAATTATGCGATTTTAGCTGTTTAGACTCCAGCGGTACCTCAACGTACATTCTGGGGTCCCAAAGCCTTGGCTCTTGCCAACCTGCGCTTAATCTTCAGAACTAGGTAAACAGGATGTGTGCCTCGTGGGTGACAGTGCACATTTCCATTCCAATAAATATTTTGGGAATGTGGAACTCAGGTTGGTTACTCTAAGTATGGTAAAGGGTTTCTTCATGTGGCAAACATCAGACTGACCAAAACTAAAGTCAAAGCCCTTATGGTAGGATAATCCAAGCAGGACAAGCAATGGGAAGCTTGCCAGAGTGTGGTGTTAATGGCAAGCTATGCAGTTTTAGCTGGTTAAACCGCAGCAGTACCCCAACGCACACTCTGTGATTAACAACCAACATCTAATAATTTGCTGATTTCCCCCCCGGGCAGAGTTGCAATACAGATGCAGGGAAATTTCCACTTGTAGGTGGCATGCATACTTGGAACTCTGTCGGCTTTGTATGGTCATGTTCTTCCGCATGCGTCAGGCACCAGTTGACCAAAGATAACAGTCAAAGTTACTGAGATTATCTGCACATTGGATTATTCAAATCAAGTATTGATATGTGATTAATGGGTGAATTAGCAATACCAGAAATGAGTCAAATGTCTTGGAGATTTGGTAAGAGCTTTTTGCCTTGCGAGGAGAGAATGGCAATGTGGGATTTATCTTAAATCGAAAGTGTGTGTCGCTTTGAGGCATCTTCCCAATGTGAAAAGCACTTTAGTGTGTCATTTTGAGCAACGCAGATGCCACAAATTCACTCTAAATGTCTGTTTGAAAATGTTAGATTGGACTTGAGAATGCAGAGAATTTCCAATCACAACCAGCTGGCTTCATTTTCCCAGAAATCTTAGTGTAAGACTGGGAGCAGTAATCTTTTGGTTGCAAGGGAGTAACTACTGCAACTTCACGCTTAGAGTAAATTATAGATTGCTAAGGTGGCGGTGCAGTTCAAGAGACTTTGTTTAAAATACTTATCTAGCTAATTGTGTTTATTTTTCAAAAAGTGGAAATTTTAAAAGTGGGAAATGCTCGTGTTTCCTGGATTAACGAGAGCGCCTCCTGTATTGCAAGGCTGTTACTCTGATATCACTAAATGGGGAGGAGACTTGTGAGTCTTGGAGCAACTCTTTAATTTAATGGAGATAGGCTCATTTGACTAACCTGGGAAATAATCCAAGCTCACTGAACTTGGCGAGTATGTTTAAGTACTGTACTTTCCCAGGGTTGGGTGGGTCCAGATCAGCTCCCCAAACTGGTCCAAAGTGCGTATTTCAATAAGATAAGGTACCTTGTGTAATTTTCTGGTACAGCCTGGTAGTATAGGAGGCAGATAGATCCACAGGCTCCTAAAATACAAGGAGTTTTCCTTAAAAATAAAATAAAATCATTTTCTAACAATGCTGGAAGATACTTGTAAGAAAAGTTACTTTCCCCCTTTTCCGTCCACAATGTGCCTTTCAGCAAGGTGATAAGTACAGAGTTGTCACCTCTGTATGAGAAAGCTGCCTTAAGAAGCAGATTTGTGATGCACACTGCACCTCCCACCAAGTTTCTATTCCCAACACTCAATCAACGTTGAACTGCTCAAGAGCAGGGCTTGACACTGCTGATACTTGTTGGGCCTCCCATTCACAGTGCAATGGCTCTAAAACGTTCTTTGAGCTGAATTGTATATACATTATACAAAAACTATGGGTGTATAGTACCGTAGTGTAGTGGTTAACACCCTCGCCTCGCAAGCGAGAGTACGCAGGGGTTAGTTTCTTATGCAACACTTGAATAAGGAACAAGTTTCCTTATTCAAGCGACTGCCAGGATGGTGGAAGGTGAACTGGATGGACTTTGGTTTTCTTTCGCCTAGCAAATTCTTATGTAGATAAAATAATGGGACTGTGTCAGTAAACATGTGGTTTACGTATAATTGACTCAAATGCATTTGTTCTGTAGAAGACTGATACAAGTTAAGGGTGCCTGAACCAATCTGATTATGCACTAGAAGAATGTACTGTCAATTTACATGTGTAACGACAGAGGCATTGCATCCACAAATGGGTCGTATTTTTTAGGTGATTTTGTAGCATTTCTGGCCAATCTTATTCTGGAGATTTATTCACTATTGGATTTTCTATGGCCAAGCCTTCAGCAGATTTGAAATTGTTTGTAGAATAGTGCATTAATTCTTCTTGATTTGATTTATATTACTATCAAATATTGAGCTGCTTATCTTGCTTGCCTGAGTTATTCTTGTACGTAAAGTTACACACATTTTGTATAGTGACGCATACAATAATGTATCAACTCGACAGAAATAACAGTAGTGATACCAATCAGAGAAATATTTAAATGTGTGAACTAAAAACAAATGTTTTTGAAGAGAGAGAGAGCTGGAGTGAGACTGTAGAAGTTTTGAAGACCAGGTAAGGGGATTTGAAATTCAAATGAGGCTCGACCAGCCAGGAAAGTTTGTCGTATTAGAGGCATGCAAGATCCAAACAAGATGGTTTCAGTCTTTTTTGACATTCAGCTGCAGAAAGTTAAGACTCATCCGAACTTGATATAGACAGATCTGGGGTAGTCTTGGTTGTTTGAGTGCTGAGCCAGGCAGGTAATGGTCCAGCCAGACTAACTTATCAGCAGAACTTGGCTCATTTTAATGCTGCAAGCCAAATTCCTAATAGATA